CACACAGAATACCCACTCTTGTGTATGTGACACTGTGCAGAGTCTAGGGGCCAGTCTCTGCCAGCGTGTAGGGATATGAGTTAAGTAGTGAAGAAAGGGTAATGATAACTAATGGACTTATTTGACATCATCAGAGTTACTGCAGAAATGCCAGACAGTTGATTATCTTGCTAAAGAAGTGGGAATTTTGTCAGGATCATGAAGGATGAGTAATATTTGAGGAAAATTGCTATAAGGCTTCCAGATTTAGCAAATAAACCACATATCTCATGTAAAGTTTAGCAGATCAGTTCAGCTCATGCCGTCAAGTAACCAAGTCATAGCTGACTCCTCCACTGGATTTCTGAAGCTGTAAATTGAGCAGGAGGTTGCCCATGCTGTGGAGCCGCTACTGGATTCAAATTGTCTGACAGGCATGGCCTTTGGGTTAGCAGCACAACTCCATGTGGACTATGCCAGCAGAGCTACTATTTATTGTTTACCTGAAATTCAAGTTTAACTGGCCTTCCTATCTTTCATCCCAAACTCAGGTGGGGGAGAGCATGCATATGGCTGGAATAGTGTACACAGAATTCAGTGAGCACAAAGGTGACTGTTTGAGAGGCTTTTGACAGAAAGGTAGAGGGATAGGGTGGTTAGATGGTAGAGGCACCTGCAGAATCTGTGTGCACACCATGTAATCCACACTTCTCATTCCCATGCTCTCTAAAGCATTCCTACAGAGCAGATTCTCTTTTCTTGAAAGAAACAGGATAGAAGGAAAAATGTAAGATTGTACCTGGTCTGGTAAAGAATCGGTCAGCTTTATCACATCCTAGATGCTCTTCACAGTAAGACAAATCTTCTGTCACATGTGAATTCTCTCTCTCTGGCGACTGCCAGAGTTTACTGTTCTACATGTAATATGTGTTTTTCTAAGGTTAGTTAGTATCTGGCTATGAATTTTCAGAAGTCTCTGCACAGATTCGCAGGGTCAGGGCATAGGAGCTCTGACCTTAATATCACCTTTAGTCAACCTTGCTTTGAAGTGTAAGCATGTTTTCTCAGTAGGGGGCCAGGTGCCTACTGTAGCCCAGAACCCTCCCCTCCTTCATAATAGCTTGGCAGAAAGAGGTTGAGCATCTCTCCATAGGCCCCACAGACAGCACCTTAAAGGGCTTCACCCCTAAATTGGCCCTCTGGTTGTCTGTGGGAGGTAACTAATCCACATGCAATGAACAGTTTTGTGACAAGAAGAGAAAGTCAGGCTACCCAAGCAGCAGGAATGGATATTGATGACAGTTGGTGCAGCAAATCAATATCCTGCACTTTTGTCTTAGTCTGTTTTGTCTCTGCTTTGAAGAATATGAATTACAAAGTGGGATCAGCAAAGTTCTTCCGGTCTTTTACACTGACCTTGGATATAGCATCATCAGCTTGTTGGCCAAGTGGGGGAACTAAAGCAGCTGGAGGGACTTTGAAGATCGTTTTCTAAACTATTGGCTGACCTCTCCCTCGTTTTTATTTCACAGGATAGAAACATTTATAAAAGAAGAGGAGTAAATCATAAGCTTGCCAGTCTTTAAGACAAACAAACAAAAACAAAATAAAACTGTTGTTTATGGCTGGGATGAATGCATTTAACCATGTAAAGAACTTACCATAATTTTTATTATATTCTTACTTTGCCTGAAATGTTTTCACCAAAACATTAAAACTCTGAGTAAAGATGAGTGATAGCCAGACTCCAAAATAGCTCACTTACTGTGGCAGATGAACAGAGTTAGGGCCCAAGGGGCCAAGGGCTGAGGGACCAGATCTAGACTATTTCTAGGTCTCTGAGTTTTCAGTCTTTCCTCGACAGTCATATTTTAGTAAAAATGACTACAGAATTAAAACTTCTGTTCTCTTTGTTTAGTGTTTTTCTACCACACCATGGTCCATGTTTGAGAATATTTGGTTGAAACTGTGAGTGAAATTACCATTCATATCCTCTCTAAAATTCATTGCCATTGGGTCAGAACAACTCGTAACTGACTGTCCCATTGGGTTTCTGAGATTTGCATGGGAGGAGACTGCCTGCTTTTCTCTCTTGGAGTCAGTGGTAGATTTGAACTGCCAGAAAGCCTTGGCCTTTGGGTTAGTAGAACAACTTCCTTTATTCCATCAGATAACATGCTCTTCCCAAAAAGTGTTTTGTTGCACATTAGTTTATAAGTTTCTTTTAAAAAAAAAATTGATTTGTTTGTGAGAGACTCTTTGCTGTCTTGGCTGCTGCTTCTCTCCCCATCTCTTTCCTCCCTCTGTCCCTTCCTTCCTCCCTCTGTCCCTTCCTTCCTCTCTCTGTCTCTTCCTTCCTCCTAAATATCTTAAGCAAGGACATTGTGTGCCATATACTGCCTTAGGCACACAAGCAATAGCAGTTTTTAAAGTTCTTGCCCTGGTAATAGTTATATTCTGTTCTGGGAGACTGATTGTAAATAAACAGGGAACAGTATGATAGGAAAAAATACTTTTAAACCATGACTTAACCTCTTCGATATCAGTGAAGTCAGGCGTATTTTATACCATATCCCATGTGAACTTCCTTATGTTGGGTGGGTTGATAGGAAAGGAGAAACAGTAGCTCTGGGCAGAGCTGGGATTGAGAAGAACTGGATTCTCAAGAGTTGGTTTTTTTACCCTCTCAGTACAGTGAGTATGATGGGGCTGATGTTGTCGTTCTAAGATGAACAGACAGCAGATGGTATTGAGGATCTCGACGAAGAGAACAGGCATAAAAATATGAATTACTAACATGAGTGCATTTCTGTGTGCAGCGCTCTGTACCAAACACTTCATATGCATTACCTCTGGCTCTGGATTGGTTTCTTAGCCTCACTTCACAAGTGAAAAGAGCCCTGGTGGTGTAGGATGTTAACATGTTCAAATTTGCTAGTTTCCTGGAGGGAGAATGAGATGAGCAGTCTCTTCCATGAAGATTTACAGACTCAGAAATCCCCATGAGTCAGGGAGAAAATTTGGACCCAAGAGGTAAACTGAGGCAGCAGCTTACTGGTATTAATGGTAGTATTTAGGAAAGGGCTGTGGTAAGACAGATATATGAGTGCTCAGTTTATTTCACTTGGCCTACAAACTCACAGCGGGACACTTCCAGATCCTGGTCTCTTAGGCAGAGCTGTTGAAATCTGCTGTGCCTTGGTTAGGACTTTGTTTGAGGTGAAGGGCTCCATACTCATCACTTAGCATGGAAACAGAAGGTTGTCATGCATTGTCCTTCCCTTTAACTGTACATCAAGTGAGAGCTAGAGTTGAAGTGGAAGGAGAATGGACTGGATTTTAGGGTTATGTAGACTTGAGTTTGATGTCTATCTTCATTGCTTCTTATGTGGAACTAAGGTAACTTAAATGCCTGTGAGCCTCAAATCTCTAATCTGTAACAAGGTGAATAAGTATGAACAATCAGCCAGTTGTAGAGAGCCCAATTTGGTATGTGACATTCACTCAGAAACATTAGAGTTATTAGATCATCACCATGATCAAAACTGACGTTGAAAATGCAAAAAGGCACCCCACACACACACTTTGAGAAAGAGCTCTGGCATCCTAGTAGGTCGGAAGTTGCACTGCTAACCCAGGGTGTTCAAATTCACCCTCTGCTCCAAGGGAGAAAGATGAGCAAACTCCTGTGTAATTTACAGCCTCTGAAAACTTGATACAGTGTCAACAACAAGAACAGTCTCCTTCCTTAGATGGTGTACATAGGCTGACAGCACAGGGAACAGGAATTCTAAAGCTAGGTTGTATACAGGAGACAATGTTGTGTATCCCCAGGGGCCTAACGTCTGATGCTGTTTCCTGTGTAAGATACAAACTGTTGCACTGAAGCCAAAAAGTATGTGAAGGGGTGCTGTGTTTTGTTTGTGCCTGATGATGCTTTACAAGTATGCATTTTAGAACACTTGAGCAGAGGTGCTGGGGGGCTCACCAAAGCTGGGTGGTCTTCAGTAGCAGTGTTCTGTCCCTGTCTGATGATGGAAGGGGTCTTCTGAAGGAGTACACAGGGATTACTGGGTCTGGCTGCCTCTCACTGAATGTTCTTCTGGTTGTCTTTGCCACACAGTGTAACTTTTCCATTTGGAAGGGTTATTTGGTGCACTTGGCAGCCACTTGCTTGGTGAATGGTATAGTGGGGCCTCTATAAATCCAAGTCCCATGAAACGAATAAGTCAGCATATTGGAAATATAACATGGAAGTGACTCCGGCTTCAAGGAATCTGTTACTAAAAGTACTGCCATCCTTTTTTGGAATATTTTGATGGAAACTGATGTTTGAGTTGGGAAGAGGAAACCAAAAGATTGGTTACTAGCAGGTTGTAATGTCAGAATCGATAGTATTTATCCTAGGATTCACCCCTTTCTGCCCGAGACCACACGGCCATCAACTGGACAGCAGCAGGATCCTGGCACCATGAAAAGCTAGAGTGAAGACACCTTTGCAGCAGATAGGGTTGACTGCACAAGCCAGCCTGGTCAGGCCTGGCCAGGTGCCTGGAAAGTTTTGAAAACTCCACCCAGCATGAGAGCCTATGGGAGTTCTCCGGCACGGGCGGGCTATTCTTCTCAGAGTTCTTTGGATTCCTGTGCATTTGAATTGTTTACCTTCTACTCAGGACTTCAGCTTATACTTTGCCCACTGAGACCAAGACCAAGCATAGATGTACTTAAGTTTCCTAGACCACCCTGGCGACCAGATAATTAAAGCTGCACACAGTCTTGGAAAGAAGGCTGTGTTGGAAATCACGCTTCACTGTAATTCAAGAACAAGTTTCTTTATAGAGGGACCCAGTTGGTGTCAGGCACATGTGGAAAAGAAAAGAACAGGCCCATAATCTTGGCAGGGTACCAAGGGCCAGATGTTAAATATACTGACCATAATGTGGTTTCAGTTATTGTTAGCCCACCTGAACTAGATATGTTATCTTAACCCCTGTTTCTGTCTTTTTCTTTTTCTCTGCCAGGTCCCCAGCCTATGTGAAGATCTTCTCTCTTCTGTTGACCAGCCACTGAAAATTGCCAGAGACAAAGTGGTGGGAAAGGATTATCTTTTGTGCGACTACAACAGAGATGGGGACTCCTATAGGTGAGCTCATGTGCCAAGAATGCAAGTTGCATATCAGACCACATCCAGGGTCGGAAACTTCCTGCTGCATTAGTGCAAGGACCTCTAATAGGTCAGACAGGCCATCCATCCTTTCTGTTTGTCGGCCCTTCCTTTTTTCACTCACCTGTCCAACCAACAACAGATATTTATGGAGTGCCTCAAATAAGCACTACAGATAAAACAGTGAATAGAAGGCCCCTGTCCTGGTAGATATTGCAGTCATAATTGTTGTAAAAAGTGTAGTTGTATGAATTCCCACGTTGAGTGAGGTACCCAAGGTACCAGGAGCATCTGATAAAGATCATAGTCGTCAAGGTAGTGAGGGCCTCTGAGATTAAGGAATATTTTAACACAGCTCTGTCAACAACAAATAGACAACTTCCCTTTTTTCTTTTGTCTTTGGGGCCACCACCACTTCTCTGTTCTCCTTCCCTTGAGAGTTCTCATGGGTTTCATGAAGAGTCTCTGGAACCATCCTCTGAACTAATGGAGGCTCCTGGGGCATTGTGGGAGGGAGAGCATTCTTTCTCATTACCTTAGCCACCCACGCAGGTCACCAGAGGTGTACATCAAGGAATTGTGGCTGCCCATTAGCTTCTGCCTGTGTTTTTTTTGTTTATTTCTTTTAAAAAGTAGTTTATTGACTCTTCTGGGACATTGTCATGACCAACATATAGTACTCAACATATATTTGAGCATATGAAAACAGTAAAAGCTTTGGACTCCAGCTGGAATTTAAATATTGTCTCCACCTCTAGTCTGCTTGGCTCCACAGTCAACACTCTTGGCACCAGTAGCCAGGAAATAAAAACATGTATTGCGATGGGAAAGTCTGCAGGGTGCTGAAGAACAATGATGTCACTCTGGAGACTAAGGTGCGCCTGATACAGGCCATGGTCTTTGCAATCACTTGTTATGCATCAGAGAGTTGGACAATGACTAGGAAGGATATAAGGAGAATTGATGCCTTTGAGCTGTGGTGCTGGAGAAGAGTATTGACTGTACCATGGACTGCCAAGAAAACAAACAGATTCATCCTGGAGAGTGTTAAACCAGGCTACTCCTTGGAGGCAAGGATTCTGGGGTTTTGTCTGACATACTTTGGACATGTAAGGAGGGGCCAGTCCTTGGAGAGGGACATCATGCTTGGGAGGGTGGAGGGACAGCGCAAGAGGGGAAGGCCCTCTATGAAGTGGATTGATTCAGTGACTGGGGTAATCGGGATGGGTGTGTCAGAGGCAGTGCGATTGGCACAGGATAGAGCAGGGTTTAGGGCTGTTGTACATAGGGTCACTATGAGTTGCAAGCGCCTCTACGCTATGACACCTGAACGTATTCTTCACCTTTCAGAGCTTCTCCCTTTTCTTCTTTAAAAACCTAGTATCATCACTGTGAATGAATTAAGGGCTATGAAGAGTGATAGCTGTAATGACTGGTCAAAATGCTCAATATTGTGTCCACTACTTCGTGGATTATGCTAGTTCCTTTGTTTCTAGTACATTCTTGGCACTTGTTTCTCCTGTGTAGTGTCTTTTACTTCTCCTGCTTTCCTGGCCTGAGTAGAGAATGTATGTTTTATAGAAGTTAAGAAGGATGAGGGGTATACTCTGGACTGCAACCCACGTTCTCTTGCTGCTGTGTATCTTTTGTTATGTCTACTACCTAAAGTAGCCTTTATGTCTGAATGCAAAGGTATGTTCTTGAAGGAAGAGAAGTCTGTTTAAATGGGAGGAAAGTATAGGAACATCTATAGAACATTCTTTCTGTCCTTTCCTCATCAGCATTTCTTATACACCTGTTATGTCCAGGGCCTTGGAAAAAAAGTCGGGGGTGGAGGGGAACCTAGAGGAAAAGGAGGAGGGCATGGACTAGAAAGAGCAGATATGAGGCCTTCAGCTGTGTGCTCACATGGTTGTATTTGGGTTAAGGCTTGAGATTCAAGAGAAAGGATGTCCCAGCAGGTTGACCTCCAGGTGAGATGGTGCTCGAATACCTACAACATTGTTCCTGATGGCTCAAGTAGGCACCTCCTCATGCACACCTGCATTTTTCCTGAGTCTGTGCAAACAAGATTTCCTCAAGAACAAGGCCGTCGGCAAAACAAAGTCGAGTCTTGTGCTTAGTCTTCCAACGTGCTTCAGGAGCCTCCTTAGAAGTTGTCTCGACTTAGCAGTTTCCTGCGACATGAAAGTTGCATGTAACTGGTCCTTACAATAGATTACAATGTAGGAACAAGGATTTGTGGGGCTTTGGAGGCATCTGAGATGAGTTAAGTACTGCTTCTGCCCTCATTCTAGGCAAGAAACAATTCAACTAAGCGTTAAGGCTGTTATATCCTGTTTCTAATTTTGCAAAATTATTTGCATTTCTTGAATCTCTTCATGCAGTTCATGATCATGTTTAGTAAAATGTTCATGGAAAAATCTAGGCAGTGAGTATATTGGTGTTCACTGTAAAGTTTTTCAACCCTACTGCATGTTTGAACACTTTTCAATAGAATTTTAGAAAAATACTGACCACGTAGTGTGTTTTGGACATGTTCCAAACATCCTAGTTATTGCTTCGTCTTCTAGGTATGTTCTGGTCGATTTGCACTTGGGGTGTAAAGAAACCCTTCCTGACCCACCTTCAGTGGACCGTTTGCAGGATGCCCTGCCCACAGCAGGGACACCTTGTGCTCGCCACACCCAGCTGCCTGTGACTCATGGCTCATGCCACATGAGGCCAGGAATTTTTTTAAAACTCAGTGAGCATTAAGGAAATCAAAGCCCTAACTCGCCAGCTGGACTCACTCAAGAACCACACATGGAGCCTGATACCTAGGAGGCTTACAGCACAGGAGGGAGGGAACTGGGCAGTAGGTAACCAGTACGGAATTTTTAAACCCCAACATGAGAACTTAATGAGACCTTAGAGAAGCTCTGGTTCATAATTTCTTCCACTTTTTTTGAACCTGCTGAGCTTGTTTTTCAAAGCTTTTGTACAAGCCCAAGTTTGTAACATATAAACATAAGCAGAATTGGGGAAAATGATTCCAAGGTACTGCTGATTCCACCAAGGTAGCTTCTAAAAGGGCTCTGACCACCAGTCTAATTCCTCTCATGTTGCAGGCCATAGGCTATAGGGATTGAAATGATGTAAATAGTTAACACTGTTAGCTGAAAGACTGGTGGTTCAAATCCAGCCACAGGTGTCTTGGAAAGCCCTAGCAATCAATCTACTTTTTAAAAAAAATAAAAATCAGGCTTTGATGCTGCATTAGAGCAGATGAGGGGAGGGAAACTGTCTGAAGTTAATACATGATTAGACATTGTATGTATGAATACAGTCTGGAGCAAGGGGTGCACTATGGAGTAGGGTGCAAGAAGAGAAGAAAGTGTTCAACAATTAAAAGAAATATTAATTTTTTTTTTAAATCAGCCTTTACAAACTCTTTGATGCACACTTCTGCTCTGACACACTTGCTCTGACTTGGAATCGACTCAGTGACAACGGGTTGTTTTGAAATGAGTGGTCAGAAGAAGAGCTACACCTCAGGCTTCTTCACTCTCAGCTCAGTGTTCTACACCAGCAGTTCTTCCTATACCAGTAGTTCATAACTGGGAGCAGTTTGGGTCCTCACCACGTTCCCATCCCCATGCCCCAGGCACCTTCGGGGGTATATGGAGACGTCTTTGTCCCATCTGAGGAGAAGTTGCACCGGCATCCATTGGGTAAAGGGCTAGGGTACTGCTAAGTCACCCTGCAGCGCATAGGACTGTCCTCCACAGCAAAGGATTGTCCAACCAAAATGTCATGAAACCTCAGAAATGCCGAAGTTGAAAAACTGTTTCAAACTATTGTTTCTACATCTGAATCGCCTGAAGAACTTTTTGTTTTGTTTTCTAAGAGGGGGAAAGGAGTAAAAGAAAAGTAATACGTATTATGGAGAAAAATAAAAGAGAAGGAATGAGGGTTGCTGGCTACTCTTTTAAATTGGTAGCATGACTCTGCAGCACACTTCAGTTGAAGAACTGCTCACAGCTGTGCTCACGCCCTTTCTGCATGACTTGGGGCCTTTAGGTTGGTTTTACCCTAGATGCGAAGTACATCTCTTCTTTCATCAGCTTATATCCTTCTGAAGAATGGCAGTAGCATAACCGCCTTCTGTTTAGCTGGGGCTGACACAGTAGACCCATCCTGCTCTCTTCAATATGCAGGTGGGGTTTTGAAGTGCTACTTACGCTCTTGTGGGCCCAGCGGCTGCTGCTGAGGTGCTTCCCACTTACACTGGGTTTCCTGGTAGGGTCAGACATTAGGACTGCTCTCCTTTCCATCTGCCCTTGTTGTTGTTGTTAGGAGACATCAAGTCAAGTACGATAGGGCTCATAGTGACCCTAAGAACAACACATCCGAACCCTGTCCTATCCTTGCATCCATATCCTCTCTGACACTCATGAGCCCATTGCTTCAGTCATCATGTTGATCCATCTTGTTGGAGGTCTTCCTCTCTTTTCCTGACACTTTACCTTTCACAACCTTTACCTTTCACAGCATGATACCCCTTCCAAGGAATAGGATCTCCTAGAAATCTGGAGAACAACCACTTGGCCAACTGACTGGAAGAGATCTATATTTGTTCCCATTCCAAAGAAGAGTGACCCAACTGAGTGTGGAAACTACAGAACAGTGTCACTGATTTCACATGCAAGCAAGATTCTACTGAAGATTATCCAAAAACGATTAGAACAGCACATCAGCAGAGAACTGCCAGAAGTCCAGGCTGGGTTTAGAAAGGGTAGTGGTACTAGGGATATTGTAGCTGTTGTTAGATGGATCTTAGCTGAAAGCAGGGAATACCAGAAGAATGTCTGTGTTTCATTGATTATGCAAAGGCATTTGACTGTGTGGATCATAACAAACTGTGGCTGACTCTGAGAAGAATGGGAATCCCAGAACATTTAATTGTGCTAATGCGAAACCTATACTTGGACCAAGAG